AAGAAGAAGAAGAAGAAGAAGAAGAAGAAGAAGAAGAAGAAGAAGAAGAAGAAGAAGAAGAAGAAGTGGTGTTTACTTTGGTTTTAGAGTCGGTGATGGGAGGAGAGCAGAGGCATGAGGTCACCAATGGCTGGGGCTCACATTCTGATCAACAAGCAGGAGGCACAGAAAAACACACTGGCTGTGGTAGGAGCCTTTTGAACCTCAAAGCCTAGTCCTAGTGACCTACTTTCTCCAACAAGGCCATACCTTCCAATCCTTTCCAACAGTTCTACAACCAGGGACCAAGTATTTAACAATATGAGACTATGGGGGCTGTGATGGTTTGTATATACTCGGCCCAGGGAGTGGCACTATTAGAAGGTAGGGCCCTGTTGGAGTAGGTGTGTCACTGTGGGTGTGGGCTTTAAGACCCTGCCTAGAAGTGAGTATTCTGCTAGCAGCCTTCAGATGAAGATGTAGAACTCTCAGCTCCTCCTGCACCATGTCTGCCTGGATGCTGCCATGTTCCTGCCTTGATGATAATGGACTGAACCTTTGAACCTGTAAACCAGCCCCAATTAAATATTGTTCTTATAAGAGTTGCCTTGGTCACGGTGTCTGTTCACAGCAGTAAACCTTAACTAAGACAGGGCCATCCTCATTCAAACCTCTACACAAACCCTCGCCACTCTGCCCTGGCTTTCCCAAAGGTACTTTGTCTATTTTTTTGGATCCTAGGTTGAGATCAGCATTGAGATCAGAGATACCAATATCCAGCAGAAAACTGCTTTGAAGGTCTCTAAGTTCTGGGAAGCCAGGCATATAACACATTGAATACACTGCCAAAGATTTTGTTCTTGGCAGCCGTTGCATCACGTGAGCCCCATGAAGAAGGAGCCTGGCTAGCTGTGGCTGATTTTAAACTTGTGATGCTCCCATGTCTGCCTCTACATTCTAGTCCTGGGCTTATAGGTCTGTGCCATAATGCCAGCACTGTTTTGGAGTGGGACATAGGTACTTTTTATTTATTTAAAACTTACATTTACCTCTGTGTGCCTGTGTGTACCTGTCACAGCTCTCCTGTGGCACTTAGACAATAACTTGTGTCAGTTCTCTCCTGTCATGTAGGGCCTGGGAATCATACTCATGTCATTAGGCTTGGTGTCAAACATTTTATCCCACTAAGCCATCTTGCCAGACCCTGCCATTAAAAATTATATTTAGGGGCTAGAGAACTGGCTCAGCAGTCTGGAGCACTTGCTCTTGCAGAGCAGCCAGGTTTGATTCCCACCACCCACATGACACCACAAATGTCTGCTAAGTCCAGTCCCAGGGGATCTGGCCCTCCTCAGACCTTAGCAGGTAGCAGGCATACATATGGTGCACAACCACACCTGTATGCAAATCACTCGTACACACAAGATAAGAACATTTAACAAATTACATTTGATTGCTTGCTTGTTTATTGTATGCATGTTTGTGGGCACAGGCATGCCAAGCATGTGTGGAGGTCAGAGGCTAGCCTGTGGAAGTAATTCTCTGCTTCCAACATGTGGATCTTGAGGACTGAACTGAGAGTTTCAGTCTTGAGGACCAGTGCCTTTACATGTATGCTGCTACATGTATCTTGCTACACCAGGGGGATAGTTTGTTTTTGTTTTTTAGTTAAATTTTTTTTTTAACCCTTGTAAGAAAATAATTACATTTCAAACACAGCTAGCCTCAAACTCAGAGATCTGCCTGCCTCTGCTTCCCAAGTACTGGGATTAAAGGTGATGTCTCAGGGTGGCCTTCAACTTAGTATATAGCTGAAGGTGACTGAATGCCTTAGACCCCTGCCTCTGGTTTCCTAGTGCCAGGTCTCAGGCGTGGCCACCACACCCTCTTTCCTTTTTAAAAAATAATTACTTCTTTAGTTTTTATGTGTGTTTTCCCTGCATGTATGTATGTGCACCCTGTGCAGACCTGGTGCCCACAGGCAGAAGGGGTAGCCAATCCTGTGGAACTAGAATTATAGGTGGCTGTGAGCTGTGCTATCCCAGGTCCTCTGCCAGAGCAACTCCTGCCCCGAGCCCTTCTGCTCATGCTCAGTCTCACTAAGGGCCTGTGGCAGCCTTACACTTGTGCTGTAGCACAGGCCAGCTCTAAGCTTGAGATCCTTCTGCTCAGCCTCTCTTGTAGGTAGAATCACAGGCCTGTGTCACCAGACTGTTAGAGCACTGAAAGGGTTAAATGAGACTGTAACAATCTTGGCAGTGTCTACAGTCAGAGTTCTTAGCCTCCTGCTTGTTACAAAGTGAACATTCAGTTTTTTTTTCTTTTCTTATTCTTTTTTTTTTTTCCTGAGACTGGGATCTCTCTGGGTAGCCCTGACTGGCCTGGAACTTAACTACTTAGCTCAGAATGGCCTCTAACTCCTGGCAGTTGGTTTGTCTCAGCCTGTGACTGAGTCCTGGGATTACAGGTGTGAACCGCCAGTGTCTTCCTTATTTCTCTCTGTGTCTCTCTCTGTCTGTCTCTGTCTCTGTCTCTGTCTCTCTCTCTCTCTCTCTGTCTGTCTCTCTTTCTCTATCCACTTACCCACCCACCCACCCATTCACGCAGGATCTTACTTTGTAGACTTGGATAACCTGAAACCTGAAACAACTTGCCTTGACTAAGTGCTGAGATCAAAAGTGTGCACTACTGTGACCAGCCATCCACCTAAGTTTCTGAAGCAGTCTTTCACTGAAGCTTGCTGATTGGCTGGCTAGAGTAGCTGACCAGTAAGCTCCAGAGATCGGTCTTGCCTGTCTCCATGTGCCAGAGCTGGGGTTTGTGGGCAGATGCCACCATGCCCAGATTTTACATGGATACCAGGGATCCGAACTGAAGCCCAAACTCCGGTCCTCACGTGTGTGCGAGAGGTAGTGGTAGTAGGGTTTTGAAACAGGCTCCCATGTAGTCTAGGCTGGCTTCTAACTTGGTATGTAGCTGAGGCAGATCTGCTTCTGCCTCCCAAGTACTGGGGTTATCGGAGTGTACCCATGCCTGGTTCTATCTAGTAGGAAAGCCTTATTTTTTTGTGTGCTTAAATAATTTTCCCTTCATTTTTATTTTTGTGTATGGGTGTTTTGCTTGTATGTATGTCTGTACACCATGTGCAGGTAGTGCCAATGGATGCCAGAAGAGAGCATTGGATCCCCTGGTAATGGAGTTACAGATCATTATGGGCAGCTGTGTAGGTGCAGGGACTTGAACTCAGGTCCTCTGGAAGAACAACCAGTGTTCTTAACTGTGAATCACCTCTCCAGTTCCTAAAATTCTTTCTCCTTTCTCTTCTTTTTTCTTTTTTCTTGAGCCAGGGTCTCTATGTGGCCTTGGCTCTTTTGAACTTGAAGTGTAGAGCAGGCGGGGCTCAAACCCACACACCCCTGCCTCCTGAGTGCCAGGACTAAAGGCATACACCATCACAACTGGCTTCCTAAAATTTCAAATAAAATTTATTTGAGTGTGTGTGCATATGTGTGTGTGCATGTGCATAGGTCAGAGGGTAACTTGTAGGAATTGTTTTACTCTTTCCATAATGTGGGTCTCAGGAGGAAACTCAGGTCATGAGGATGGACAGCAAGTACCTTAAGCCATGGCAGCCGTGTCTCTAGCTCCTGTTTCTTTCTGTAGTTTGTTTTTCTGAACCTGGTTCTCTCTGTAGACTTATAGGTCTGGGTGTCCTGCAACTTACTATGTAGAGTAGGCTAGCCCCTAACTCACAGATAATCTGCTTGCCTCTGCCTCTTTTTTTTTTTTTTTTTTTTTTCGTGATAGAGTTTCTCTGTGTAGCCCTGGCTGTCCTAGAACTCACTCTATAGACCAGGCTAGCCTCGAACTCAGAAATCCGCCTGCCAGTGTCTCCCAAGTGCTGGGATTAAAGGCGTGCGCCACCACTGCCTGACTTGCCTCTACCTCTTAAGTGCTGGGATTAAAGCATGGTCTGGTACTTGTTCCATTTTTTTGAGACCTGATCTCACTCTGTGGCTCAGGCAGGCCTGGAACTGTGCAGCTGCAGCAATGGGAACTCAGAGTTCTCTTGTCTCAACCTCCCGAAGGCTGGAGTGTGCTACCATGTCCTTTATTCAGTCATTTTAGAGCCATCCTTGGTAGGCTTACAGCTCAGGCATCTGTGGCGATTTCCTGTAGGCATGCCTCTGCTTCCAGGCACACCTGCTGACCTGTGCAAGAGTAGGCTCCAAACGCATACTTACTACATTGTAAATGAATGATTTTGTGGGCAAAAGTTGTTTTGATGCTTTATTGAAGAGCAATTTTTAGAAGAGAGTTTCAAATGGAACTTCCCAGTTGGGTAAATTGCCCTCTGTTCATCCGGCATTGGGTATTACATTGCTGGATATGCTTAGAACTTGTCTCTAAGTTACAGGGGATGAAGCCATAGATCTGCAGAACCTATTACTAAGCACGTCTCCCCATGGAGACCAAACTGAACTGTAGTAGTTTTCTGGCTGGACCCGTGATGATTTCCCTTCAGGAAGAGAAGGTATCCAGTTTCTTTCTGACTTTTCCATTTTCTTTTAGGTATTGCTGGATGCTGCGCCAAAACCACAGTTGCCCCCTTGGATCGAGTAAAGGTTTTATTACAAGCTCACAACCACCATTACAAACACTTAGGTGAGTTCTACATGCTGTCTTAGTCAGGGCTTCTATTGCTGGGATAAAACACCAGGACCAGAAGCACGCTGGGGAGGAAAGGGTCTATTTCACTTGCTCCTCTGTATCACGGTTTATCACTGAAGGCAGTCAGAACAGGGCAGAATCCTAGGAGTTGACGCAGAAGTGTGCGTCAGGATAGCGGCCATGGCGGATTGCTGCTTGCTGGCTTGCTCTTCACAGCTTGCTCAGTCTGCCTTTTTTTTTTTTTTTTTTTTTTTACTTTTTCTCTTTGGTTTTCTTTCTTTCTTTTTAAAGATTTATTTATTTTATTTATATGAGTATATTGTAGTTGTCCTCAGACACATCAGAAGAGGGCATTGGATCCCATTACAGATGGTTGTGAGCCACCATGTGGTTGCTGGGAATTGAACTCAGGACCTCTGGAAGAGCAGTCAGTGTTCTTAACCACTGAGCCACTCTTTTTGGTTTTCCTTTTTCCCCCCCCCCCCCCCCCCGGGGGGGGGGGTTTCAAGACAGGGTCTTTTTGGTTTTATAAGACAGAGTTTCTCTGTGTAGCCCTGGCAGTCCTCTGTAGACCAGGCTGGCTTGGATCTCAGAGATCTTCCCTCCTCTGCTTCCTGAGTCCCGGGATTAAAGATATGCTAATACGGCCCATTCTTAGAGTATTTTCTTATAGTACCCAGGACCAATTTCTTGTAGAACTCAGAGGTGGTCCCACCCACAGTGGGCTGGGCCCCCTTCTACATCAATCACTATTTAAGAAAATGCCCTACAAGCCTCCCTGCCCACAGCTCTATGGTATGAAGGCATTTTCTCAGTTGAGGCCCTCCCCTCTCAGATGACTCTAGCTTGTGTCAAGTGGACAAAAACTTAGATTGGAATTTTGCCATTTTGCCAAAAAGCCAAAGATGAAAAGGAATGGAACATTATCTACCTGCTTTTTTATAGAAAGAGGGATAGAGTTAATATTTGTGTTTAGAACAAGCCTTGTAAAGGATTTATCTCCCTCCTTTTCTTTTTCTTTGTTTTTCTTTGTTTTTTTCTTTTGGTTTTTCAAGACAGGGTTTCTCTGTGGAGGCCTGGCTGTCCTGGAACTCACTCTGTAGACCAGGCTGGCCTCGAACTCTCAAACTCAGAAATCCGCCTGTCTCTGCCTCCCAAGTGCTGGGATTAAAGGTGTGCACCACCACTGCCCGGCTTTGTTTGTTTTTTGAAGACAGGGTTTTCTACATAGCCCTGGCTTATCTGGAACTCCTCTGTAGACCAGGCTGGCCTTGAGCTCACACAGATCTTGCCTCTGCTTCTGAGTGTTGGGTTTAAAGGCATGCACTGCCATTGCCCACCTTATTGATTGATTGATTGATTGATTGATTGATTGAGACAGGGTCTTTCTACACAGCCTTTGCTCTGTCTTGAAACTCATTATGGGGCTAGAGAGATGGCTCAGAGGTTAAGAGCACTGACTGTACTTCAAGAGGTCCTGAGTTCAGTTCCCAGCAACCACATGCTGGCTCACAACCATCTGTAATGCATTTGATGCCCTCTTCTGGTGTGTCTGAAGACAGTGACAGTGTACTCATACACATTAAATAAATTATATTTAAAAAAAAAAGAAGCTGGGCAGTGGTGGCGCACGCCTTTAATCCCAGTACTTGGGAGGCAGAGGCAGGCGGATTTCTGAGTTTGAGAGTTCGAGGCTAGCCTGGTCTACAGAGTGAGTTCCAGGACAGCCAGGGCTACTCAGAGAAACCCTGTCTCGAAAAACCAAAAAAAAAAAAAAAAAAAAAAGAAGAAGAAGAAGAAGAAAGAAAGAAACTCAGATCAGGCTGCCCTTGAGCTCACAGAGCTCCACCTGCCTCTGCCCCTCAAGTAATTGAAGGTAAGCGCCACCATGTCCATATCAGTGGTGAGCTTTATGTTTTATATGAGTAAAGCTTATTTATTTGATTGAGATAAATGATGATAAAAGTTCACTTATTATGTAGAAATTACCACTTTCGAGCTGGGGCTGGAGAGATGGCTCAAAGGTTGGAAGCCTCTTATTTTTGTAGGGGACCTGGGTTCAGTTCCCAGCACCCACACAGTGGCTCACAACCATCCATGCTCCAGTTCCATGGGATCCAATACGCTCTTCTGAGCTCTTTGGGCATCTGGCACTCATGTAATGTGTACATACATCTAGACAAAACAGTTGTATATATGAAATAAGATAAATAAATGACCATTTGTGGTAGGTAGTTCATGATGGTGCACACTAATAATCCCATTGCTTGAGGGGTAGAGGCAGGATGATCAAGACTTCAAGGTCATTCTTTGCTGCCTAAGGTGTTGGAGGCGAGCCTCAGTCATAGGAGACCCTTTCTAAAAACACCAAAACACTCTTGAAATGATATAATTTCTTAAATAAAATTTCATTATGAATGATGGTTTATTAATCTCTGGGTTTTTTTTATGAAAAATTGAATTTCAATACATTTATTGGAGGAGGGAACATTAAGACACTGTTCCCTAGGTTGGACCTCAAACTTCTATGGAGCCCAGGCTGATCTTGAACATGTGATCTTCCTCCCTTAGCCTCCCCCTGCTGAGATTACACTTAGGAAAAAGAACAAAACAGGAGTCTAGCCTGGGCGCATGTCTTTAGTCCAGTATTCAGGAGGCAGAAGCAGGCAGATCTCTGTGAGTCACAGGTTGTAGGCCATCTGGAGCTACATGGTGAGACCCTGTCACCACACACACACACACACACATACACACACACGCACCCAAAAAAGAAAAAGGAGAAGCAAGGGCCAGCAAGATGGCTTTGTGGGTAAAGTGCTTACCACATAAGCCTACTGGCTTGAGTTTGATCAGCAGAACCCATAGAAATATGGAAGGAAGGAGAACCTACTCCTCAAAGTTGTCGTTTGACCTGCATACATGCAGTGACATGAACACACCAGTGTGCACATGTTCTTAAACACATACACAACAAAAAATGCATACGTGGGCCGGAGAGATGGCTCAGCAGTTAAGAGCACTGACTGCTCTTCCAGAGGTCCTGAGTTCAATTCCCAGCAACCACATGGTGGCTCACAACCATCTGTAATGGGATCTGATGCCCTCTTCTGGTGTGTCTGAAGACAGCTACAGTGTACTCATATAAATAAATAAAACTTGAAAAAAAAAAAGCATGCAAACTGAAAGAAGAACAAAACAAAAGCAGTTAAGACAGATTACACGTGTGAGCCACATGCCTGGCTCAGAGTTAGTTTCCATTACTGTAACAGTATTCTTCTTGTAAACTCTTTCCATGAGCAGGGGTACTGTCTACACTGCGCGCTGTTCCCCAGAAGGAAGGCTACCTTGGACTGTATAAAGGAAACGGCGCGATGATGATCCGGATCTTCCCCTACGGTGCCATCCAGTTCATGGCCTTTGAGCACTATAAAACGGTAGCTGGATTTTTCTTTCCTTCATGTCTTTGAATGTTATGTTTAATACCAAACATTTGTTTTTATTTGTGTGTTGTGTTTGTGTGTGTGTACATGGAGGTCAAGAACAAGTTGTAGAAGGCCTTTCATCCTGTGGGATGTGTGTATTGGACGTAGGGTCTCAGGCTCTGTGGTGGCATCTTTTCTGCTGAATCACCGTGTAGTCCCTTGCATCTTTTGTGGTTTTGAAGCAGTATCTTTATGTTAAGCACAGGCTAGGTTTGAACTAACGATCCTCATGCCTCAGGCTCCCAAGTACAGCGGTGTTGAGTGCGTTTTTTTTCCTCCTAAGGCCCAAACAACTAGAATGACTGTAGACTCAAAGTGTCTTTACAAACACCTTGGTCATAAGGTTAGGTTCCATGATTAGATCATAACTGTTATCCCATTTATTCTAATCTGAGTTCTACCACATGGCTGGTTACCTCTGCTCAGCTGCCATGTTTTTGACCTCCATGTTCCCAGGCAAATCCCAACTTGGCTTTATCCCAGAATCCTTTCTGCCAATAGGATGTCCCACCTTTCATTCCACCCTTTCCTATAGGCCATAGGATTTTTATTGACAAGTGATGCAACCATACAATACACAACAGATTCTCTCTACCCTGGGGTTATATGGGTCAATAGCATGCTCTCCATTGGATTTTTTCCCCAGTGCGGGGGAATTGAACCTACAATTCTGTGTACACTCGTGGTTTTACCTTCAAAGTTAAGTTTGGATGCTGTGTGTTAGACATCCACATGCAGCTTAGAACAGACAACACCAGACTAAATGGTTCCAAGAGGGAGGTTATTCAGGGCAAAGGTAGGGGGAGAGAAATAGAAGAAGATGGCAGAGGAAGAGAGGTCAGGGAGTTCTGCCTGTGTTATATGGACGGTGACGTAGCCTCTCCCAGGTAAAGGTGAGGTGGCCAGGTGGATTCTGGGAGTGTATGGCGGTTGCCTTGGCAACGATGTTGGGGTTGCCTAGATGTGATGTCACTGGGTTCGAGCCTGATACCAACACTGTGAACTCAGTGCAAGCTTTTATGCTTCTGTGGCAAGCATTTTCCCAACTGAGCAACTTCTCATTTCCTGTTAGTTTGTTTTGAGATGGATGGATCTGGAATTTATTTTTAACTGAGGCTGCCTTTGGACTCAATCTTGCCTCCTCTCCCTCTCAAATGCTGGAATAGGCGTACACCACCACGCCCAGCTCAAAAGTGTCTTCCAGAAAGATAGACACAAGGTCAGTGAGGTGGCTAGAGGGTAAAGGTGGCTTCCGACAAGCCTAAGGACCTATGTTCAGTTCTTGGGATCCACATGGCAGAGAGCTGACTCCTTCACGCTGTTGCCTGACTTCTGAATGTGCACACCCACTCACACACACACACACAAATTTATAATATTTTAATACGGTTTTTTTATTTGGGGGGGGGTTTCTTTCTTTTTTTTGTTTTGGTTTTTCGAGACAGGGTTTCTCTGTGTAGCCCTGGCTGTGGCTGTCCTGGAACTCACTCTGTAGACCAGGTTGGCCTCGAACTCAGAAATCTGCCTGCCTCTGCCTCCCAAGTGCTGGAATTAAAGGCGTGTGCCACCACTGCCTGGCATTTTTTTGGGTTTTTCGAGACAGGGTATCTCTGTGTAGCCCTGGCTGTCCTGGAACTCATTCTGTAGACCAGGCTGCCCTCGAACTCAGAAATCCGCTTGCCTCTGCCTCCCAAGTGCTGGGATTAAAGGAGTGCGCCACCACCACCCAGCTTTTTAATATGTTTTTTAAAATTAAAATATTTGCAGAGTGAGTTCCAGGACAGCCAGGGCTACACAGAGAAACCTGGTCTCGAAAAACCAAAAGAAAAGAAAACAAAAAATTTTGCATGTGTATATGGGTGCTTGTGGAGGCCAGAAGAGAGTGCTGGGTTCCCTGGAGCTGGAGTTAGCTGATGAGGGTGCTCAAAACAGAATCTACGTCCCCTGGAAGGGCAGCATGCACGCTTTACCCATTGAGCTGTCTCTCCAGCCTATTTAATAGGCTTGTTCTCCTGTTCTCTGAGAATACCAGTGTGGCTTTTCCTTTATATCTATATATTTATATTCACTTATTATGTTTGTATGTTTTCTTTTCTTTCTTTTTTTTTTTTTTGGTTTTGGTTTTGGTTTTTCGAGACAAGAGTTTCTCTGTGTAGCCCTGGCTGTCCTGGAACTCACTCTGTAGACCAGGCTGGCCTCGAACTCAGAAATCAGCCTGCCTCTGCCTCCCAAGTGCTGGGATTAAAGGCGTGCGCCACCACCGCCCGGCGTTTGTATGTTTTCAATTGGCATAAAGTATAAATGTATATCTTATTTGATAAATGTAAATTATATAAATATATAATGCACACTCATGTGTATACAGATGTTGCTGTTCTGAGGATAAGGCCCAGAGCCTTGAGCATCCTTGACAGATATTTTACCCGTGAACTCTCTCCCTGGTTTGGGCTCTGATTAAAGAAGTGACATCCCGTTATAAAGTTTACTGGTGTTTGCAGCACTGCTTCAGCAGCTTTCCTGTCAGACTCCTTAGGTCTCTCTTCTCTTTCTAAGGCTACTTCTTTCCTTTCTTCTTTTCTTCTTTCTTTTTGTTGTTTTTTGGGTTTTTTTTTTTTTTTTTTTTTTTTTGGTGTTTTGAGATAGGTTTTCTCTGTAGCACTGGCTGTCCTGAAACTTGCTGTATAGACTAGGCTAGCCTCGAACTAACAGAGATCCACCTGCCTCTGCTGTATTAAAGGTAAAGTCAGGCCACCACACCAAGCCTGACTTTACTTAAAAAAAGATTTATATTTTGGGCTGGAGATGGCTTAGTGGTTAAGAGGATTGGCTGCTCTTCTTAAGAACCCAGGCTCGATTCTCAGCATCCATATGGTGTCTCAAAACCAAGCATCTGTAATTCCAGTTTCAAGGACCTGATGCCCCCTTCTGACCTCCACTGGTGCTGTACATATGTGGCAAACTTTCATATATGTAGTAAAACACCATATAAATAAACTAAAAACTAATTTTTATTTAAAGACAAGTTTCTTTGTTTAGCCTTGGCTGTCCTTGAACTTGCTCTGTAGACCACTTTAGCCTTGAACTCACAGAGATCCTCCTGCCTCTGCCTTCCATGTGCTGGATGTTTTGCTTTCATATATATCTGTGTGTATGTACTGTGCATGTCTGGTGCCTATGCTAGCCAGAATAGGGCACTGTATCCCCTAGAACTGCTGTTAGGGACAGTCATGAGCTGCTGTGTGGGCTGGGAACTGAACCCAAGTCTGCAGGAGCAGCAAATTCTCTTAACCTCTGAGCCATCTTTCCGCCCCCTCTAACTTTATTTTAACACATAAAATAGCATCTCATTTAATTCAGTGTTTTTGGTTTCTAGTTCATTACTACAAAGCTGGGAGTTTCTGGTCATGTGCACAGATTAATGGCTGGATCCATGGCAGGTAAGATGAGTAGGTACATTTTATATCTGATAAATAAGATTTCATTATATCAAAGTGCTTAATTTGGGGGTTAAAGAGATGGCTAAACAGTTGAGAGTACTTCCTATTTTTTTAATATTTTTTTATTGATACACAGTATTACTATATAGTTCTGGTGGTTTGTGTTTAAATATCTATTTTTATTTACATGCAAATGTGTATGCCTGTGTGTGTGTGTGTGTGTAAGAGAGAGAGAGAGAAAGAGAGAGAGAGAGAGAAAGAGAGAGAGAGAGAGAGAGAGAGAGAGAGAGAGAGAGAGAGAGAGAGTATACGTGAGTGTATACACATACATGTCCATGGAAGCCAGAAGAGGGTGTTGGACACTTTGGAGCTGGAGTTATTAGCTATGTAGGGTGCCCAACATGGGTGCTGGCAAGCAAGCTGCGGTCTTTTGCAAGAGCAATGTGTACTTTAACCACTGAGCCATCTTTCCAGCCCCATTTCTGCTCATGCAGAAGCCTTGAATCTGGTTCCTAGCTCCCACATCGTGTGGTTCACAGTGTCTTGGTATCCCAGCTCGAGGAGAAACTGATCCCTCTGATCTCCACAGGCACCTGTCTTCTCGTGCACGTACTCAACGCACAGATAGACGGACACACAGAATTAAAATAAGAGAAAAAGATCTTTGTGTAAGAAAGAAATCCTTTTTTTTTTTTTTTTTTTGAGACAGGGTTTCTGTGTAGCCCTGGTTGTCCTAGAACTCACTCTGTAGACCAGAAATCTGCCTGCCTCTGCCTCCCAAGTGCTGGGATTAAAGGCGTGTGCCACCACCGCCTGGCTAAGAAGTCCTTATTGGGTAGTGTTAGGCAGTTTAGCGCTGTGGCTGGTGTTGTCCGTGTTCGCTTGATTACAGTTAGTACGTTGTTCCCATTCAAGGGTGAGTTAACGTCCTAGTTCATCTATACCTAGTCATCTAGTGCCTTGTCTGTGTTTAGCTTTAACCACCTTCAAATGTGACTGGAAATTGTATATTTGTTCAAGTAAACACTGGAAGAGACACGAGGGATGGGGATGCTGGTTACTAGGAGGTGAGGGGTTTGCCTCTCAAAGAAGAGGATCAAAAACTAAATACTGGGCAAGTGAGATGGCTCCGCAGAGGTGCTTGCAGCTAACACTGGCAACCTGAGTTCAATACTGGGCATCCACAAGGTACAAGGAGAGAGTCTACTCCTGTGACGTGTCCTCTGACCTCCACAGCAATGGACCGTGGAAGAACACTACACATAAGTGAATAATTCCACTCGTAGGGCTGTGCGCTCCATGCTGGTAGGATATGCAGAAGAGGTGGAGACAGGAGGATTATGAGTTCAAGGCCAGCTTGGACTGTGCAGTTTTTAAAGCTGGGAGTGGTATGTGTATCTTTAATCCCAGCACTTGTGAGGCAGAGGTAGGTGAGCCCAGTCTGGTCTGCATAGTGAGTTCCAGGACAGCCAGGGATATGTACAGAGACCATATCTTAAAAAACCGAAGTGTTTAAAAATAAGTAAGTTTGGTAAAATTAGAAAACTACCAAACCAAGGAAACAGTGCTAATAAATTACTGTACAGGCAGTGATGTGCACACACCAGCCCTCAGCTAAGCAAGGACTGATAGGTGCTTCCATTTCCAGCACTTGGGAAACCAAGGCTAGAGAACTGTTAATAGTTTCAAATTTTCTTGGGTCCATATAGAGAGTTCTAGACCAGTGTGAGCTAGCTGTATAGCAAGACCCTGTCTAAAACAACAAACAAAGAACTCTCAGAAAATATTTTTTTGGCCGGGTAGTGGTAGTGCACGCCTTTAATCCCAGCACTTGGGAGGCAGAGGCAGGCGAATTTCTGAGTTTGAGGCCAGCCTGGTCTACAGAGTGAGTTCCAGGACAGCCAGGGCTACACAGAGAAACCCTGTCTCGAAAAACCAAACCAAAACAAAAAACATCTATTTATTTATTTATTTATTTATTTATTTATTTTTGGTTTTTCGAGACAGGGTTTCTGGTGTGCACCACCACTGCCTGGCTAAGAAAACATTTTTAAGAGATAAAACTTTTTCTTTCAATACTGGGGGCTGAAGTCAGGCCTGGTCTATGCTAAGCAAATGCTCTACTACTGAGCCACACTCCTGGGCTGACGGACCGTTTTGAGATAGAATCTCATTATGTATCCCTGACTGACCTGGAACTCTAGACCAGGCTGGCCTCTGCCTCCCCAGTACTGAGATTAAGACCTTACAACTGGCCCTTGTTTTGTTTCCATACAGCATCTTGAGTATTGTAGGTGTCCTTGAACTTTCTATGTACTTGAGGATGGTTTCCATCCCCTGGCCCTCTGCTTCTGCTCCCCATGGCTGATTCATAAGCATGCCCTCCCCCCCACACACACACCTAATTTATATACACTGAGAGTTGAGTCTGGGCCTTCAGGAATGCTTGACAAGCACTCTGCCAAGTGAGCTGCATCCCCAGCATGTTTTCTATTGTATATTTGTTTTTTGAAACAGGGTCTCATGGAGCATAGGCTGGTCTCAAACTAGCTATGCAGAAAAAGCGGCCTTGAAACTCCGGCTTTCTGCTTCCCCGCAATGCTGGAGTTACAGGTGTTAAATTTAGGAATAGAGAAGTGGGTCAGTGGTTAACAGCACCAGTTGCTCTTGCAGAGGACCCAGGTTCTATTCCCAGCACCCACATGATGGTTCACAAGCATTTATAACTCTAGCTTCAAGGGACCTCCTCCCTCTTCTGACCTTCACAGACGTGAGGCATGTATGTGGTAGACATACAACCAAATAAAACATTTATACACATGAAATAAAATAAATATAAAAAACAGTAAACTTAATTGGACTGTTTGTGGAGGTTGAAATCCTATATTCATGGAAAACTGAGGATGCCGTGTGGTGTCCCACCTCTTCAGTCCTAGCACTTGTAGGCTGAGGCAGGAGGATCTCTGTTTCAGGACAACCGGAGCTATATAATAGACTTTGTCTCATGAATGTTCGACAAGCACTCTACCAAGAGTCAGCCAACCAAATAACCAAACAATCACAAAACCCACTGAAGGCGAGTTTACTACTGAGTTTCTAATCGCAAGATTCTGTGAATGCAGTGGTGCCTCCCTGCAGTGCCAGCACTCTGGAGGCCGACACATGAGGGCCACTGAAGTTTGGCCAGCCTGGACTACAGAGCAAATTCTACACCAACCAGAGCTATATAGTAAGATACTATCAAAAAAGCAAAAAAATAGCCAGGCGCACACCTTTAATCCTAACGCTGGAGAGGCAGAGACAGGCAGATCTCTGAGTTCATAGTCAGCCTGGTCTACAGAGGGAGTTCCAGAACAGCCAGGGCTACACAGAGAAACCCTGTCTCGGAAAACAAAGCAGAAGCAAAAGCAAATAATAAGCACCAAGTAAAAGGATATGCCCTTTTCCTACCCTAAAAGCTTTCAATTACATTTGTGTGCATGTGTGTGTGTGTGTGCAGGAATTGGTTTGTTTCTTTCTCCTGAAGATTGATCTCGGGTTTGTTAGGCTTATTGGCAAGTGCCTTTATCTCTTAAGCTATCTCACTGGTCATTTAAATTTTTTTATTATTTAATATTTGTTTGCATGTGTGTGTGTGTTCATGGGTTTGTGTGCTCATGAACACATGTGAAGGTCAGGCAGGTTTTGGCAGTTCTCTCCTGCCATGCCTTCTGAGGATCACACTCAGGACATCCCCGATACCCTCCCCCCACCCCACCCCTCACCCTCCCCACTTGTTGGTTTCTGTTTTATTTTGGGTGACCCAGAACTCCTTATGTAGACTCCATCTGCTTCTGCTTCCTGAGTGCCGGGGATTAAAGCCACCATGGAATGGCCTCACGTTCACTGTGTATCTGAAAATGGGGATGACCTCGAGTTCCTGTCCCCTGCCTCCACTCTTAAGTGCTAGCATGTAACACGGGACTTTTTTGTAAAGATTTATTTATTTGTTTTATATATATGAGTACACTGTAGCTCTCTTCAGACACACACCAGAAGAGGACATAGGATCCCCTTACAGATGATTCTGAGCCACTATGTGGTTGGTTGCTGGGACTTGAACTCAGAACTTTTCGAAGAACAGTTGGTGCTCTTAACTACTGAGCCATCTCTCTAGCCCCTTGTTTTTGTTTTTTTGAGACAAGGTTTCTCTTTAGCTCAGGTGGTTTAGAACTTACTATGTAGCTCGTGCTGGTCTGGAACTTGTAGTAACTCTTCTGTCTCGGCCTCTGGAGTGCTGGGTTGTGTGTGGAAGCCACAACACACAGCTGGCTATTTATATTTATTCTATTTAGTTAATTACAAAGTAATCTAAATTCTAAAATGAAAGTAGTGGTGCATTTTGAACCTTATTCTATTAAACTGGGTATAAAGTAGAATAAATTCCTCTCTTTGGAACCTCAGGAATCTCTTTCTCTCTGGCACACCATAAGATCCTGACATCAGTGTGGGACTCCATCCCAGTGTTGTGGGAATTGTAAGGACAGGCCACATTCAGAGTCTCCTGTCTGCCTTGGTATCGCTGATGCTAAGATCTTCATTTTGGACCTGGGGTGGAAGCGGGCAGTGTGGATGAATTTTTTTCTTTGCGGCCACCGGTGTGAGATGAACAAGAGCAGCTTTTCCAGCCCTGGAGGCCGTCCACATTTGTACCAAGGACATGGCACAGAGTTTTGTGAAGGTGACATTTATGTTCAAGTGTGGTTCTACTCTTCCTGTATCATCTGCTTCCACACGATATTGCCCTGGGCTGGGCCAGCAGGCTCCCAACACTTATTCATGGTCCCTTGGGGAAGCCCCAGGACACAGGAGTCAGGTTCACTTTGGCCAGGTCATCATGTTCATTTGCACCAAGCTGCAGAATAAGGAACATCATGTGATTTGTCTGAAGCGCTTCATAGAGCCAAGTTCAAGTTCCCTGGCCGCCAGAAGATCCACAGGTCCAAGAAGTTGGGCTTCACCAGATTTCATGTTGATGAATTTGAAGGCATAGTAACTGAGAATCGGCTCACCCCCAATGGCTGTAGGGTCAAATAAATCCCAGTCTCAGGGTGCTGGACAGGTGGCAGCCCTGTACTGGTGAGGGCTTCTTACTGTGTCACCTCCCACACCACCTACTGGTTGTGTTGTTGTTTCAAGACAGGGTTTCTCTGTGTAGCCCTGCCTATCCTGGAACTCTCTCTGTAGATCAGGTTGGCCTCCAACTCAGAAATCTTCCTGCCTCTGCCTCAGTGTTGGGATTAAAGGTACACACCACCACTACCAGCTGACCTACAGTCAGTTTTACTGCTAATCTCACAGCCAATAAAACCAAACCATGATGTGTTTGAGCTGCATCATTTGGTGCTAACAGCAGGATTTCACAATGAGAGGAACTTAGGATGATTTTTAAAAACTGACCCTTTCCAGGAGTGGTACCTTCAAGCTTAGCACTCACGGGCAGAGACTCATGGGTGGATCTCTGAGTTCTAGGCCAGCCAAGGCTGCATAGTGAAGTCCTGTCTCAAAAACGAATGGAGCAAAAAAACCCTAGCCCTCTTTAGGTATTGCTATTGGATGGTTTGAGTCTCTAGTCCTTAACTTCACCTTTGCTCTGAGTACGTTTCACCATTTTTATAATACTAAGGAGTGTCATTCTTGAACTGTGTGTGTGTACACATCTGTGGCTCTGTTCCTTCAGGCATGACAGCAGTTATTTGCACTTACCCCCTGGATGTGGTCAGGGTGCGCCTGGCCTTCCAGGTGAAAGGAGAGCACACCTATTCAGGGATCATCCATGCCTTCAAGACAATCTATGCCAAGGTATTCCATCCGACCTTCCAAACGTCCGGCATGCTGCAAACCTGTGTCTGGAGACTATGGAAGGCTAGCTATCTCTTCCTCTGCTTGAATTAATGATACTAGGTTAGGGGTGCAGATCAGTGATGGAGAACTCACCTACCTTGCACAAGTTCTGAATTGATTCCCGGCACCACAGTAAAGAGGAGAGGGAGGAGGCAGGAAGGAAGGGAAGAGGGTGGGAGGGGAGAGGAGGGAGAGAGTTATTAATGGTAGCAGCAGCAGTAGCCCTGAGAAGCCATGTTTCTATTCAGATGAGTCCTAGGGTCACTTCTGTATCATCACGCTTTTATTGGATGACGTTTATCAGAACGAGTATGGCATAATCCTGTTTTCTTCATTCAAAGGAAGGCGGTTTCCTTGGATTCTACAGAGGTCTGATGCCTACTATATTAGGAATGGCTCCATATGCAGGTATGGTTCACACTGGGCCAGGCTGTGCTACACATCTCACATCCAGCACTCAGAGGCAGAGGCAGGCAGGGCTCTGTGAGTTGGAGACTATGTCTCAGATGCCCTCCCCTCTGCATCAAACTATGATTTAAATTTTACTCATTTTAAACCTTGGAAGACTGTTTAATTCTACTCCTATATGATTTGAAATACTTTTCACTTCTGCGTAGTATATATTAGTGTGTGAAAACTAATGCTATCATTTTAGATTAGGAAATGCATAATTGTTTCCTTCGATTATTTTGTTATCATGTAATGAAGGTCTCTTTCTCAGTTCATGTCATGGTGAGTTTGTATCCTGTTTTTCAGGTGTTTCCTTTTTTACCTTTGGTACCCTGAAGAGTGTTGGGCTTTCCTATGCTCCCACCCTGCTTGGCCGACCTTCGTCCGACAACCCCAATGTCTTAGTTCTGAAAACTCACATAAACCTCCTTTGTGGTGGTGTTGCTGGAGCAATAGCACAGACAATATCGTAAGTGTCTCTGCTTCCGTCCCTCAGTCTCTGGCTCTAGTCGTGTCTGACACTGTGATCATGTTGTTCTCTTCTGATAGATCACTGAACAGCAGAGTCCCTTATGAAATGTCAGTTCATCTTGATAAATATTAATTTAATCCCTTTTCAGACACACCTTCATCATAAGCATATTGTACGTAACTACATGTTAATACCCGATTGCATTCATCTAGATCCTCCCACTTTCCTATAGATTCCTTTGAGAAAACAGTCATGTAAATACGAGCATTCATTTGTTTGTTTTTTTGTTTTGTTTTGTTTTATTTGTATTGTTTTTTGAGACAAGATTTCTCTGTAGACCTGGATATCTTGGAGCTCGATTTGTAGACCAGGCTGACCTTGAAGTCACAAAGATCTGCCTTCCTGTGTCTCCCATGTGCTGGGATTAAAGGTGTGAGCCATCACTGCCTGGCTCCATCCATTTGTTCTGGTCAATTTGGCCCCAAGTAGTTACTGACACTTGAGCCACTTAATGTGTGTGTGTGTGGTCTGTGGGGTGTGTGTGTATATGATATGTGATGTGTGTGTGGATTGTTATATGTTTTCGTGTATGTGTGTAATATGCGGTGTGGTATGTGATTATGTATGTGTGTAATATGTGATGTGTTCTGTGTATATGGGGTATGTATGTATGGGTACAATATGTGGTGTGTGTGTATGGTGTGTGTATGCTGTGTGTATGTGTGTGTGTGTGTATGTGTATGGTTTGTGGTGTGTGTGGTTTGTGGTGTGTGTGTGCCCTTTTGCACTAAATTCTTGAAAACGTACTTTGTTCCATACAGTATTTGAAGCATTGTAAGGTTTACTGAAGGAAAAATAGATGACTCAGAAAACCCCCTTTCTTTATATTTTATTTTTAATTATGCATATATGTGTGTTTGTGCATAAAAGTACAGTTCTCTCAGAGGCTAGAAGAGGGTTTCAGATCCCCTGGAGCTGGCATCACAGATGTGTGCTGGCTGGTTTTGTGTGTTAACTTGACACAAGTTAGAGTCATCAGAGAGGAAGAAGCCTCAGTTGAGAAAATTCCTCTGTCAGACCCAGCTGTAGGGCATTTTCTCAATTATTGATCAACGGGGAGGGCCCAGCCCATGGTGGGTGGTGCCATACCTGGAGTGGTGGTCCTGGGTTCTACAAGAAAGCAGGCTGAGCAAGGCAGTAAGCAGCACCCCTGCATGGCCTCTGCATCAGCTCCTGCCTCCAGGTTCCTGTCTTATTTGAGTTCCTGTCCTGACTTCCTTCATATGAGCCAAATAAAGTATAAGTCAAATAAAGTCTTCCTCCCCAACTTGCTTTATGGTCATGGTGTCACAGCAATAGAAACCCTGGCTAAGATAAGGTGGTTGTGAGCCACCTGATATGGGTGCTGGGAACTAAACTCAGGTTCTCTGGAACAGAAGCAAGCACCCTAGCCCAAGCTGGTTTTACTGAAGCAGTTCAGTGTTTAACGGGTTGAAGTTGCCACCATGTACAGGGGACGTTATAATAAATCCATTGCTATATCAAAAGTGGGAAGGTGGTTCTAAGACACTGCTCCAGACCAGGAGAGATCAAGTAGAGAGACATGAAGGGCTAAAAACTAAGCAGCAGGACTTCAGGGAAAGCAAGTCAGAAAGCCTCTGAGGTGATGGAGGACGTGTCCTGAGCACCAGGGAGGCAGCAGGAGTGCTGTCACCAAGCTCCTGAATCCTGGACGGGCCAAGCAAAGCCAGAGTCAGCCCTGGGAAAGTAGATTGTATCTTCAGATGGCAGGTAACGCTGCTGTGGAGGGTCGAGGAGAGCTGTCCGCTTTGCTGGGCAGAGCTGCCTGTGGACTCCTGTGGACTCCTGGCCATCTCCGGATGTGCTAGTCCTCTTCTTGGCCCTGTCACCCCCTTTTCCTCAAGCCGACTCACAGCTTAACCTGTCTTCTTTTTCTTTCTCATCTCCTCCTGCCAAACAACAACAACAAAAAACAAAAACGGGGTCTCCTGTGGTCAAAACTTGTCTCTAACTTGTTATATAGGTGAAGATGGCTTTGAACTTTGGATTGTCCTGCCTCCACTTCCCCAGTCCCAGACTGCTCAGTAGATTTAAGATGTTTTCAGTAGTTGTCTGATAGGAGATGAGAGGTTTTTTTTTTTTTTTTTTTTTTTAAGCATAGAATAGAGTTTATTCAGGGCATGAGGAGGGGAGCCAGGAGGGTAGTACAGGCAGAGAGAGAGATAGAGAGATAGAGAATGAGAAGTCGAGAGATTGTTTTTACGTCTTTAATTCTTGTGTTTCTTCAGCTACCCATTTGATGTGACCCGTCGGAGAATGCAGTTAGGGGCGGTCCTACCGGAGTCTGAGAAGTGCCTGTGAGTGTCCTGACGGCTAACTGTTCGTGATCTTTAGAGACCCAGTGGTCTTTACATTTCTATTTTTAACACAGGGTCTCATGTAGCCCGATTGGCTTCCAACTCTGTATGTAGCATGAATGGCCTTGAACTTGTGACCTTCCTTTCTCAAATTCTAAGTGCTAGGGATAAGGTGTGACCCTCTTACCTGGCTTCTTGGTTGGTTGGTGACAGGATCTCACTATGTAGTCTGGCCTTGAACATGCACCATCATCCTTCAGGGCCACACAAGACCTTGTCTCAGAGAAACTCAGCCTGACCCAATCCAGGGCAAGAAATGAAAGAGAAAGCAAAGAGGGTAGGGTCCTGCCTACTGCTTCCCCAGCTGCCTCCCGCCAGGCCCCACCTGGGAGAGGGCCCATCATCCCATCATTCCCAGAGATGCCTCTTATCACTGGGTAACCCCCAGGCTCGGTAATGACAGCTTAAAGAGTGGATGTTCCTACAGCCTGTGCTTCCATCAGTGTGACTGTGGGCTAGTGCTCTCTGTTCACAGCATACATGTGTACAGACCGAGCACGTGGTCCTGAGCAGCCTGGAAATATGTAGAACGCTTTCCCCTTGCAGTGGTTTGCTTTTGTCACTGTGATATGTTGGCTGTGTGTCACCTTTGTCTTCCAAAAGGTATTCCAGATGGAAGTTTACACAGACTCGTCTACTGCATTCAGGCCACTTGGTTTTTAAAAGACTTACCTGTTTTGTTATTTTTTGCGTGTTTTGCTTGCATGTGTATCTGTGTACCATGGCCATTTCTGGTGCCTGCTGAGGTCAGAAGAGGGTGTTAGATCCCTTGAGACTGGAGTTACAGATGGTTGTAGAGCACCATGTGGGTGTTGGGAATGGAACCTGAGTTCAGAAGTTCTCTTAAGTTCTGAGCCAACTCTCCAGGCCAGTTTTCAAACGTTTGACTTACTTTAGCAAAAGTTAGCCTTGAACCCCTGGTTTTCCTGTCTCCATCTCCCAAGTGCTAAATTTACAGGCACCACCAGGACTTGTTTGTATGAATGTATTTATATATGCAAATATTTATTGTTTTATTTGAGACAAAGTCTCTGTTGCTCAAGTTGGCTTGAAACACGCCTGTTTTAGTTTCTGAAGTGCTAGGCTTACGGGCTTGAGCAAGCACAGAGGGTAAGCCTCCTTTCAGATAGATTGTTCTGGTGGTGTAGTCCTCCTTCCCCAGCGGATGCTTATAGCTCAAAGCTAGCCCAGGCGTGATTCTATCTGAAGAAACTAAACAAACAGTAAAGAAAGCTGTTCTGAGCTCTGAATTGTCTTGTCAGCTTCTGGGTGGCTTGCCACCTTGAGAATGCTACATCACTTTTTACTGTCTTTCAGTACCATGCGGGATACCATGAAGTACGTCTATGGCCACCACGGGATTCGGAGAGGATTGTACCGTGGCTTATCTCTGAACTACATCCGCTGTATTCCCTCTCAGGCTGTGGCCTTCACAACGTATGAACTTATGAAGCAATTTTTTCACCTTAACTAAAAGAAAAAAAATCATGTAGTTATTTTCCTCAGTAAATTCTCAGAAGGATGTGTGTATGTGTGTGCGCGCGAGTGTGTGCGTGTGTGTGTGCGTGTGCCTGTGTGTGTGTGCGCGAGTGCATATGTGATACCTTAATTGTGAGGGAAGCATTACTTGAAGGGGACGTTTGCCCTGACTTAGGAACCACTGGCATTTCAATACTTGATTTCTTTCAGTTTTTAAATCATAGATCAAAAATGCTCAGCATAATTTGTTTTGTTTTTTTTTTTTTTCTTTCTGATGGGATCTCCATAGTTATGCTGGCCAGCTTGGAACTCATTGTGGAGAGACCTTTTTGTGGAGAGGCAATCCTCTTGCCTCTGCCCCCCCAAGTACTGAGATTCCAGGCGTGGGCCACCATGCCTGCTCTAACATACTTTTCTTTCTTTCTTTTTTTTTTTTTCTGTGTATCTTGGGCTGTCCTGGAACTCACTCTGTAGACCAGGCTGGCCTCGAACTCAGAAATCCGCTTGCCTCTGCCTCCCAAGTGCTGGGATTAAAGGTGTGCGTCACCACCGCCCGGCCCTAACATAGTTTTTAATGGCAAACATTACACCTTACAACCCTGAAGAGCCAGCCATCTTGGGCTGACTGTGGCTACCTGTTTGGTTATTTTAAAGTGTTATTTGGAAGGAAGAGAAAGTTCACATTTGAGTTCAAGAGATCGTCATTAGTACTACCATACCATTCCCGTCTTTCCACTGTAATTGTGGTTACTGAGGTGTGGGGAGGGGCTGGAATCAAACCCAGGGCCTTTGTATGCCAAGCACATGTTGTACCCACTAAGCCACATCCCTGCAAGCGCCATGGCACTGAGCTGTGTCACTGGCCTTTCCCTTTTTATTACGGTGCTGGGGATCACACTCTTGCATGCTGATTGCATAATCCCACACTGCCAGTGGCCACACCCCCAGCCCACTGACCCCGCCCATTATTTCCCCTCCCACTCTGCCCTTTCTTTGCTTGTTCTGGGGAGTAAACTCAGGGTCTCTCTTGCCTATCTTACTAGATAAGCGCTCTACCTCTGAATACATCTCCAGCCTTCTAACATTGTGTAATGCTATAAAATCAGCCAACTTCCTTTTATGGTAGCAGAATGAGGACTGAATATATAAGATCTGTGAATCGGAGCCAGCAACAAAGTAGTGTTCTTATTATGTTTCTTCTCATAATTCTGCTCCAGTTGATAAAATACACCTTTTCCTCCATTGGCTTTAAAAGCATTTTCTTTTTCTTTCTTTCCCTTCCTTCACTTCCTTCCTTCCTTCTTTCCTTTTTAACTCTCTTTGGGGGTTGACTCTAGGCCCTGGTACATCCCAGGTTGATGAGATCCCACAGAAAGCCAGGTGTGCACTGAGGCACAGCCCTAGCTGTCTTTCCTTCTCAATAAAATTAGTGTTGTATTTTAAAGGAGATAGTCAACAAATGAAGACATTCCCAGGTCTTGTTCAAACGCTATTATCATGGACTTTAATTTTCATGAGTTTTAAAAAGCCACTGTGTTTCCCAAAGGCAGTGATAATAAAAATTAAATATCTTTGTTCTTAAAAGGAGGGTAGCGTTGCAGATGCCTGTCTTAAATAACTTGGTATGCACTAGAGAATTTAAATGGACCATTAATTTAGAGGAAGCAATGTTTCCGAGGTATTATGTCAAGACATAAGTTCTTCCATGTAGGCTTAGTGTGTCATAGTCCTAAGCGTAAATATAAAACACATTTTGATTGTTACATTTTAAAGAGGTTGTTTAGAATATAAGAATTCTGATCATTGTGTTTAGAACACTTTTTCACTGTAAGCATGACACATGAACCAGTAAGCTGTCTCTAGAGGTAGTGATTTATAGAATTGATGTGATTTTTAAAGCATTAAAATTAAGCTGCAAATGTTATTTCTGCATTTTCATGTATGTAAAGATTTCTTGTCATATCTTCAAAAAATTGGATGAATTAATTTCATTTTTATGATCTTTATTTTAAAAATAAAAATGTATCTTGTGCTTTGTAAATGTTCCAGGGTGGGGATGGGTGTTTATAAAGCTCTTTTGTATATTTTAATTTCTGGACCACACTGTAGCTAATTATTCCATTCAATCTTAAGGTAATTTAAATCTGTAAAATAAATATCTCAATTATATTATCAATAAAGAGAACTGAAAATATTTTTTAAATAAGAAACTGCATTCTATGTCTGTTATAGAATCCATAAGATATTAAAAGTAATTTTTTTATCCTTGTTTTGATGGCTTGTTTTATTTATTTATCATCTGTGGAACCTGAGATCAACCCTAGGGCTCGACACATGCTGGGTAAACACCTTACCACTGAATTGGATCCCAGCCAGACTATTTAATTTGTTTTATTTTACCTTATTTATTTAATATTATTTTATATGAATGAGTTTTGCCGGCAGGTATTTCTGTGCCCCACAGACATGTCTCCTACCCAAGGAGGTCAGAAGTAAAACATCAGCTCCCCTGGAACTGGAGTTAGAGATTCTTGTGAGCTGTCCTGTAGGTGCTTGGAATCAACACTGGAAGCAGCCAGTGTTTTTAAGTATTGAGCCATCTCTGCAGCCCTTTATTTTCTGAGACAGTCTCTTTATGTAACCCGAGCTGACCTGACACTCAAAATCTTCTCCTGTGTTAGGATTATAGATATGTGCCACCTTTCTTTTAAATTGTTTGCATTATTGGTAAGGAGAAATGTTAAATATAAAATAAGAGAATCAAGCCGGGCGGTGGTGGCACACGCCTTTAATCCCAGCACTTGGGAGGCAGAGGCAGGTGGATTTCTGAGTTCGAGGCCAGCCTGGTCTACAGAGTGAGTTCCATGACATCCAGGACTACACAGAGAAACCCTGTCTCGAAAAAAAAAAAAAAAAAAAGAATGGGAGGGCTGGGGGGATGGTTCAGGTGACAGAGCTATATAACCTACATACACATTCGTAGCACCCACATACTAGCCAGGTTTAGTCATAGACCCTGTCTATGTATAAAGTGAAGCGCCATAGAAGGCACCGACTGTGGAATCACTGGTGTCCACACATATCCTCATATAGGCACAAACACATGCACAGACATCAGAGTGGACAAATGTTAAAATTATGTAATGGCTTCTTTTAAAAGAATTTTTCTTTAGACTTAGCTTTCATTTGATTGTTTTTTTTTAAATTTTGTTTTGTTGTTGTTTTTGTTTTTCCAGACAGGGTTTCTTTGTAAACCAAGCTGGCCTCTAACTCAGAGATCCGCCTTCCTCTGCCTCCGAAGCACTGAGACCAAAGGCGTGTGCTACCACCGCCCAGCTAGATTTACTTTTTAAAAGATTTATTTTGTGCGTGTGTGCCAGCGAGTATGTGTGTGCACTAAGTGCATGAGGGTGCCTTTGGAGGTCAGAGGGAGGCATCACGGATTCCCTGCAAGTGGGACAGTGTGTGTGTGTGTGTGTGTGTGTGTGTGTGTGTGCGCGCGCGCCAATGTGGCATCACAGATTCCCTGCAAGTGGAATTAAAGGCAATGGGAAGAGCCAGTGTGTGTGTGCCAATGTGTGTGTGTATTTGTCACCAGCTGAATTGCGGGAAGCAGCCAGTGTGTGTTTGTTTGTGTGTGTGTGCTCGCGCGTATGCCACCAGCTGAACTAGATCTCCCGCTCTCCTGCTCTGAAAACCCCGCGAGAGGGGATTGCTGTGAGCTGCGTGCGGTGAGCGTGGCAGCCCGCCAGGTCCACGCGGGTAGGTATCGGGTCCGGGAGGCGAGCCGGCGGGAAAGCGCCTCCGGTCCTGCGCTGTGCTCCCGGGCGGCACCGAGAGCGCGGGAGCCGCTGGTGCGCGGGTCGCCTGCTGCGCATGCGCAGCGCGCTGGCGCGTCTCTCGCGCGGCGAGTTGCGGTCGCGGTCGCCCCACTCTGTCCCGCTCTCCGGGCGGGCTTCGGCAGGATGGAGTCACTGGACGAGCTGGACCTGCTGCTGCTGGAGGAGGACGGCGGAGCGGAGGCCGCGCCGCGGGTGGAGCTGTGAGCCTGCGGGAGGGCGGCGGGCGCGAGGGGCGAGCGCGGGCGGGACCCGCGCCTTCTTCCCCGGCGTGAGCTGGAGGGTGATCCTCACCGGCCAGTGTGGATTGGGGACCTGGGCTTGGTTGTGTAGCCCGCTGGGTTTTCACACGACAGCTCACCACTGTCATTGATACCTTGGGTTTTCATTTTGGTTTATTTGTCTGTGCGGAGGACCGGCTTGTGGCGGTCGGAGGAGCACCTGGGGCCAGTTCTTTGCTTTCACGTGGGACCGCGGGGTCAAACTCCGGGCTTAAGGCTTGCCAGGAATCGCCTTTAGTCAGACCCAGGGTCATTTATTTATTTTTAAATTTATTTGCGTGTATATGTGCACGTGCCTGAGTTTAGAGGCGTCTCCTGGCGCTCTTGTTTCAAGCACTGGTGAGCTGCCTGATGCGGGTACTAGGAATTGAACTTGGGCCATCCCTCCAGTATATCTTTTAAGGTGTCACAGCCTGTTTACCACCACCCCCCGGAATTAATATGAGAGGCAAAGTAGGGGTGTCGAGTGATGACATTTACAAAACAATGGACGGTGCTGCCCCACCCCCATGTGATTAATAGGAGAAGGTGGAAGGCATTTATTTGTTTATTGAGGCAAGGTCTCTCAATATTCTTGGCTGGCTCGGAACTCATAAAGATCCTCCTGCCTCTGTCTCCAGACTGTTGGCTGGGATCAAAGTTGTGTGCCACCATGTGTGGCAGCATTTCATGTTTTTAATTGGAGAGGGTTGGTAGCTTATTAGGATTGTGGAAAGCCACCCAGAAAGATGCAAAACGGGAAGGGATATGGCTTTACATACTAGTTTACGTAGTTTCATTATAGTGAAATACAAATAAGATACTCCTGGGTTACTGTACATGATCCTTCATGCCGTGTCACCTCCGCACCCCCCCCCCCACCCCCCCCCACCCCCCCCACCCCCCCCACCCCGGGTCGGCTAGTAAGGTAAGGTGCAGTGGCTCAGGAGTTGCTGTTAGTGACTCCAGCAGGAATGCCTGAGACCAGCCTTTGCATTAACAGAGACACCTTTCCTGGGAAGCCCAGGGGGAGCTTTCTTTCTTAAAGAGATGGAGACCAGGACTTCTTCCTGCATCTATCTGCACAATGTTGGACCAGATTTGTTTGGTGGTGCTGGAGCAACCAACACCCGTTATACAGTAGGCCCAAGCCCTCTAATGCTGTAAAGATTAGTATGACCGTCAGCTCTCGGCAGCAATTGCAGCTAACCTTTCGTGCTGCTCCCCGGCCCCCTTTCTTTCACGAAGTAGTTGGGGAAATCACACACAGTAGGTGCTACCCCACTGAACATTGTCATGCCTAGGATAGTATATCAGTTATCTGGAAACGTGTTAGGAATATCTCCCTTTAGTTGTACTTCGCAAAGGCTTTCGACCGTGGTAGGAACCCTTGTCAGTATTTTCCAGGGTTTAAGTTAGCCCAGGCTAGCCTCGAACTGAGATGTGTAGTCAGCCCAGGATGGCTTTGACCTTCTGATCTCTGATCCTCCTTTTTCCGCTTCCTAAGTGTTTGTTTTGTTGCTGTTTTCCTAAGTGTTTGTCTCGTTTTGGAGAGCAGGCTAACCTTGTGTGATTAGAAGGTAGGAGTGGCCTTAGAGGCCCAAGAAACAGTGACATGGGCTGATTAATGTCCAGTCTAGGTATGTGTGAGAGTTGTCCAAACTGGTAGGCATTTTTCTATTTGTAGACTAACCCTAGCCCCTTCCCCAATTCTAACCATCACTGCCTACTAATGTAAATACCGGTCAGAATATATGTAACCGTGTATCAAGGGCAAAGGCAGACGTGTATAAAAATACAAGCTTGTGCTTTCGGCAGCTCTCCCCCCCTTTTTTTTTTTTTTTTTTTTTTTTTTGAGACAGGATTGCTCTGTGTACCCCTAGCTGTCCTAGAACTTACTCCGTATACCAGGCTATCCTCAAACTCACAGAGATCTGCCGGCCTCTGCCTCCTGAGTGCTGCACCGACTCACCCAGCTGTCATTAGCTCTCTAGCCTGTGGTATTGACCCTCTGGAGATAGTCTGCTTCCTTACTTAAAGCAGTTTGGATGTCTAGTTCTTTGGTTTGATCTCTTGCAACCTTGAATTTGTGGTAGTTCCTCTGCCCCAGACTCCCAAGCCCTGGGAGTGAGTCACCATATGTAGCTTCACTTATGTTTTAATGTTCGTGTATGTTTTAAAAGGAGAGGAGTGAGCCACTTCTTGTTTGTTTTGAAATGGTTCCTCATGTAGTCCAGGCTAGCCAAAACTCCCTACGCCTCTAAGGATGACTTGGTTCTCCTGCCTCTGACTCTTTTTTTTTTTTTTTTTTTAAGGTTTATTTATTGTATGTACATGAGTACACAGTGGCTGTCTTCAGACACACCAGAAGAGGGCATCAGATCCGATTACAGATGGACATGAGCCACCATGTGGTTGCTGGGAATTGAACTCAGGACCTCTGGAAGAGCAGTCAGTGCTCTTAACCGCTGAGCCATCGCTCCAGCCCCTGGCTCTGCCTCTTGAGTTCTGGGATTACAAGCATGAGCTACCACGCTCAGACAGACACCTAGGTTGCGCACTGCAGGGAGTGAGACTGTACATGCTCAGCAAAGCACTCTCCCAACCGAGCCCCAGGCCCAGTGTTTATAACAGGAATTCTCCCCCGTGTCTTTCTTTAGTTTAAGGTTTTCAGATCAACCAAGACTAGAAAACCAGAAGATTGACTTCCACAGAGTACAACCAACTGGCTGCTCATCTCACGGCTCTGATAGGATGATTTTTTTTTTTTTTTATGTTTTTGATTTAGACTTCAGGAGAAGACGGACACTTTCTTTCCTGGAACAGTTCTCAGCCGAGGAGTGGATAACCGATACCTGGTGCTAGCCGTGGAGACCGTGCAGGATGAGAGAGGAGCTGAGGAGAAGCGCTTGCTCATCACCGCATCCCAGGACAGAGAGCATGAAGTTCGGTGCATCCTGAGGAACGGCTGGTGATTTGCATTTGACATTGAGCCATGATTTGGTGGTCTGGTGGTTTCTTGTTTTTGTTTGCTTTCTGATACCAGCTTTCATGTAGCCCAGGCTATACCTGAACGGATTGTATCTTGCCTCTACTTTCTCACCTCCAAATGCTGGGATTACCTGGCATGATTTGGTAGAGTCTGGAAGACACCACCTTACCCAAGGCCGCGTGTGTGCCTGGCAAACGCTCTACCACTGAGCTCCAGTCCCAACCCTAGGGTATCACCTGAAAACCCATCTTGTGTGGATAAATTATTTAAGAGGAGGTAGAGATAGTTCAAGAGTAAAGGTGCTTGCTACCAAAACTGAAAATCAGAGTTTGATACCTGGGACCCACGTAGTAGAAGAACCTGATGGACCCCCGACCCCATAGAGGCACACAAAATAAATATGTTAAAAAAGAAAAAAATAAGCCGGGCAGTGGTGGCGCACACCTTTAATCCCAGCCCTTGGGAGGCAGAGGCAGGCGGATTTCTGAGTTCGAGAGTTCGAGAGTTCGAGGCCAGCCTGGTCTACAGAGTGAGTTCCAGGACTACACAGAGAAACCCTGTCTTGAAAAAAAAAAAAAAAAAAGAATTTTAAGAGGCAGGGGAGGAAGGTTCAAGAGGAGGTTCAGTGGTTACCAGCACTTTCTGCTCTTGCAGAGGTCCTGAGTTTGGTTCCCGGCACCCACAAAGTAGCTCACAACTTCATGTAACTCTAGTCCCAGGGGATCTGAGACCATTCTCTGGCCTCCTCGGGCACTGCACACATGTGGCATACATACAATCAGGTACATGCACGTATACTTAAATAAAATAATAATAAATAAAAAAAATTAAATTTACAAGTTAATTTTCTTTAATTCTAATTTAAAATTGTATGTTATGTGTATGTTTTGTCTGCATGTATATATTCAAACACCATGTGTGTGCATGTTACCCACGGAGGCCAGAAGAGTATATTGAATCCCCTGGAACTGGAGTTACAGACAATTGTAAGCTGCACTGTGGGTGCAGGGTCCCCTGTAGGGGCAGGTGATGTTTTTAGCCATAGAGCCGTCTCTATAGCAACCCCCCACTTACACGAAATTTAACACCCAGAGATTTAGAAATATTTATTCTTCAGAAAAATGTTCGATGCTTCTGGTTGTGTTCAACTGTGGGGACCTAGATTATACGTTTTCGCTTCACCCTTGCCTGTTTTCAGGTGTTCGGTCCCGGTGGAGCCAGGGGACATCATTCACTTAGAGGGAGACTGCACATCTGAGCCGTGGATAATTGACGATGACTTTGGCTATCTCATCCTGCACCCGGACATGCTGATCTCTGGCACAAGCGTGGCTAGCAGCATTCGGTGTCTGAGAAGAGCTGTCCTGAGTGAGACTTTCAGGGTAAGCGACTTCCGTCAGTGTTTCTGCAGTGTTCCCCCTGCTGTGTTGAGGGTGAAATCCAAGGCCTCACTCTGATGCTGGGCTACATCTACAGCCCCTATGAAAGGCCTTGACACTAGTCTGCAGTCCTCACCTGCTACACTTTACAGAGGGCAAACCGGGCCGCCAGCTGTGTGACCTGACCAGAGTCACATACCTAGTAATTGCAGTGTTGGAATTCAGACCGTGTATTTGGTCCTCTGAGTTTTATTTAGCTTTGTCTTAGTTACGGTTTTATTGCTGTGAACAGACACCATGACCAAGACAACTCTTATAAAGGACAACATTTAACTGGGGCTGGCTTACAGGTTCAGAGGTTCAGTTTGTTATCATCATGGCAGGAAACATGGCAGCATCTAGGCAGACATGGTGCTGGAGAAGGAGCTGAGAGTTCTACATGTTGATCCTAAGGCAGCCAGGAGGAGACTGACTCCCAAACTTACTGTAGCTTGAGCTTTAGGAGCCCTCAAAGCCCGCCCACACAGTGACGCACTTCCTCTAAACAAGGCCACGCCCCCTCATAGTGCGACACAGGCATTTATTAGCGGTATTCATGAGAGCGAGAGTACATGCCTGTGTCCAGCATATACTTTTTCTTGCTTTTTCTTTTTCCCCAATCCCAAGGACAATTTTCTTAAGAGTTTAAAAGGAAAACTCCACAGGAGGCAGGCTACACGCCTCAGTAGCGGCTCAGAAGGAGAGAGAGAGCGAGCCACGGTGCCCAAGTTAAGCCAGCGTGGAAGTCAGCTACCTGGTAGACCAGCAGCCCCAAGACGGGGTAAGGAAGCCCAGAGTGATACAAAAAAGCATGATGAGAATGGTAGAAAGAAGGAAATGAAAAGTTACGGGCTTGTGAGTAACTCAGAAAAGTCGGCCGACCCACAGAGCTTCATATTTGCTTCTTTGCAGGCATCCACTTCTAAAAATACATTTTTTATAGGCGGATGTGGTGGCACACGCCTTTAATTCCAGTTCTTGTGAAACAGAGGCAGGCGGGTCTCTGTGAGTTCGAGGCTCCCTAGTCCAGGATAGCCAGGGCTGGTTACACTGAGAAACCCCGTCTCAAAAAGCCAGGAGAGTGAACCAATTAGAAAAAAAAACAACAACAACAAAACAAAAACCAAAAAAACAAAGCCAACTCTGCGAATGAATTGGCATTTGACATAGTTCGTGCTGGCTTCATACCTGCAGTCATTGTGTCAGTGTGTTATCATGAGACATGTACATGATGTGTTTTTATAGGTCTCTGATCCAGCCACCCGCCAAATGCTGGTCGGTACGATTCTCCATGAAGTCTTTCAGAAAGCAGTAAGCGAGAGCTTTGCCCCAGAGACGCTCCAAGAGCTTGCCCTTCAGACTCTCCAAGAAGTAAGGCATTTGAAGGAGATGTAAGTCACTGAGAAGTCCAGACGCCACCTCACCCTGTAACTTCAAGCCTACAATTCAGGTTTCAGGAAGGAGACCCTTCGGTACGAGCTAGCGTAGCTGGAGTTCAGCCAACTTGTTCAGAGTACCCTGTGGTGTCTCTGGGCAACAGGGACTGCTGGGTAACATTACTGAAATACCCTACAGTGCTCAAGGATGTAACCCGTGGTATATAGCTGCCTCCACCGTCCTCAGAGAACAGGTGACAAATGCAAAATGCTTTTATGTTAGTTCTAGAGACCGATATGTTGAACACCGTATAGGTTTAGACTCAGGTAGCGGGAGTGTTCACATATATCTTAGCCAGTGTATACGTGAATAAATCTAGTTTTGCAGACTTTTGTGGCTCCCTACCCAATGATTAGCCTGTTCTCTTTTTTAAAGTAAGTGTGTGTGTGTGTGTGTGTGTGTGTGTGTGTGTATGTGTGTGTGTGTATAGCAGGAGAGAGAAGGGAAACAACCTTTGGGGTTTGGCCCTTGCCTCCTCCTTGATAAGGCAGTGTCAGCCTCTCTTCTGCTGCTTTGCTGTGTAATCCAGGCTGGCTGCCTGACCAGCTCCCGTCTCCTCCTGTCTCGCTTTAGGAGCATTTGGATAACCTTCAGTACATAGATTTGTTTGTTTTAAAACTTCATTTTACTTCACTATTTTTTGCGTGTTCGTGTGTGTGATGTGGGCCAAGCACATGTGGCAGCATGTGGACGTCAGAGGACAACCCTGTACAGTTGATCCTGTCCTTCCGCTGGGGATTTCAGGCTTGTGGGGTAGTACTTCCACGTGCTAAGCCCTAGCCGCTCTACTGGCTTGACGTTAGGTATGCTATCAAGCGTATGTCGGTTTTACACCTTAAAAGAGGAATGTTTTAAGGTTGAGCTGTATTCTGTTGTTTGGACCACATTTGGAAACATCTGTTTATTAGCCTGTATCGATATTATTTTCCTCGTTTATATTTCTAATATTTCTATTTTCTTACTCAGTTTCCCCTTTTTGGCAGGTATCGCTTGAATCTGAGTCAAGAAGAAATAAGATGTGAAGTTGAGGAATATCTCCCCTCTTTCTCTAAGTGGGCCGAGGACTTCATGCATAAAGGCCCCCTTGCTGAATCCCCTCAGATGCAGCTCTCTCTGTAAGAAGTGGATTCTGGTTACATGCTGTTCCGAGTTTTAGACAGGATTCCCATATGCTTGTTGATTCAAAGATTGCTTGTTTGTTCAAGACCAGGTATTAGTTAAGTTCTAGCTAGCCTAGAACTCCATATCAAACCAGGCTCAGCCAGCCTCTTGGGTAGCCAACTCAAAGCTCTTTAAAGAGGGTTGGAGAGATTGCCCAGTGGTTAAGAATACTTACTCTTGCCGGGCGGTGGTGGCACATGCCTTTAATCCCAGCACTTGGGAGGCAGAGGCAGGCGGATTTCTGAGTTCGAGGCCAGCCTGGTCTACAGAGTGAGTTCCAGGACAGCCAGGGCTATACCCTGTCTCGAAAAAAGAAAAGAAAAAAAAAAAAAAGAAAACTTACTCTTCTTACAGAGGACTGGTTTCTGTTCCTAGAACTCATGCAAGTTCTGTAATTGACGTAAGTGTATTCTGGCCTCCGAGGGTCCGGCAGACACTTTTGCATATAAACAGGCGTGTATACAAACTTATAGAAAGGATAAAAAGCTCTTTAAAGCCCTTTAAAGGTCAAGATAGAGGCCAGCAAGATGGCTCAGCTAGTGAAGGCACTTTTGTCCTTTCACACTGCAGGAACCAGCTAACCCCCGGACATTTTCACATGTATGCTGTAACATTTGGGGATCTTCATGCTGACATGCAAATGCACACTAAATAAACACATAACGTGATCATAAGAATTAAGGCCGAGTTTCACTGTCTAGCTGCAGCTGGCCCGGACCTCACAGAGACTGTCTTCCTGTGCCTGCTGAGCGCTGGGATTAAAGATGTGAGCCACTAGGTCTGGTTTAAAAGGATAAGCTTTTACAATGTATCATATTGTTGTTACTGTTTTTCCGCACTAACAACTATGTATAGTATCTTTTCCTATCTCTAGTTATCTTCCCATGACCGAAGAAATCTCTTGAGGATTTCAGTTTCATCCTAATGTTAGTCAGTATCATTTCATAAGAATTTTCACTGTTGCTGGGCGGTGGTGGCGCACACCTTTAATTCCAGCTCTTGGGAGGCAGAGGCAGGGGGATTTCTGAGTTCGAGGCCAGCCTGGTCTACAGAGTGAGTTCCAGGACAGCCAGGGCTATACAGAGAAACCCTGTCTTGAAAAACCCAAAATAAATAAATAAATAAAAATTAAAATTAAAACCAAAAGAATTTTCACTGTTAGAATAGTCCTGATTTGTCTCACCTTTTTAACTTTATTTTCCGTTATGCATGAGTGTTCTCTCTGCATGTACACCTGCATGTCAGAAGAGGACATCAGATCCAGTTATAAATGATTATAAGACTCCATGTCACTACTGGGAATTGAACTCAGGACCTCTGGAAGAGTAACCCGTGCTCTTAACTGATGAGCCATCTCCAGCTTCGGTTTGTCTCAACTTTTATGAATGATTTTGTTTTTCTTCTGCCACATGGTCTCCCTATGCAGTTTGGCTGGCCTGGAACTCACCAGGTAGACCAGGTTTGCCCTGACCCAGCCGATCTGCTTGCTGTCTCCGCAACTTGATTGCCAGGATTAACGGCGGGTAACCCTGTGTCAGGCCATTTTGGAAAGTACCTCACTATACCACTCTGATTCTCAGACAGCTGTCACAGCCAGTCACAGCCACAGGCTGAGCAGTGGGATTCAGGGCAGTCAGTCACTTGCCAAACACAGGGCACCTTTTGTGGTCTTGTTCCCAGGTGGTGCCAGAAAGCATTGCAATTCAGAAAGCACCAAGACCCCCAGCAACCAGAAAAGGTACTTGTGTGGTAGTCATCGGATCAGGTGTGAAGTGAGTGTGTTCTGTGTTCCTGTTCAGGCCAAGCGATGGCAGTAACAGAAGTTCACCTTGTAACATTGAAGTCATCAAGTCGCTGGATATTGAAGAAAGCATCTGGTCCCCTAGGTTTGGACTGAAAGGCAAAATAGACGTCACAGTCGGAGTCAAAATCCATCGAGGTTGTAAGACGAAGTATAAGATAATGCCGTTGGAGCTGAAAACTGGCAAAGAATCGAATTCTATCGAACACCGAAGTCAGGTATAACTCTTAAACAAACGTTTGTAGTGTTGAGGGTCTCGAAATGTGAACTGTGTGTCCTGATCTCTGTTGAGCTGGGTAGTGTTTATGTTCATGTTGTAGTTTTTAATTTGTAACTGAAGCTCAGGGTATGCTGCTTTGAACAGACTGGTGTACATGGTAGAATCTCCAAATAAACAAATCTCCCGAACAAACAAAAATTGTCTGCTTGGGTAGCTAGTTTAGCATAGAAATGTAGCCTCAATGGGTCTCAAGTTTAGCTGTTTTCTTTTCTTTTGGTGTTTTTTGAGACGGTTTCTCTGTGTAGCCATGGCTGTCTTGGAACTCACTCTGTAGACCAGGCTGGCCTTGAACTCACAGAGATCCGCCTGCCTCTGCCTCCCAAGTTTTTGGATTAAAGGCATGCGCCACCACTGCCCAGCTGTTTTCAGGTTTGTTTGTTTTTTTATTTTAAATGTATTTTTATTTTATGTGCATTGGTGTCTTGCCTCTATGTATGTCTGTGTCAGATCTTGAAGTTAGAGAATTATCAGCTGCCATGTGGGTGCTGGGATTTGAACCCAGGTCCTCTGAAGGAGCAAGCAGCCTGTGCCTTTTTTCAGTGTAGGGGATCTAACTCAGGACCTTGTGCTGAGTTATATCTGCAACTTGCAAGATTATCCTGTTAAATGAAAACGGTTTGTTTTTATCTTTAATTATGTGGTTAAGTGTGTAGGTTTGTGCATATGAGGCTAGAAGATGTTAGATCCTCTGAGGCTGGATTTACAGGCCGTTGTGTGCTGTCCCACGTGCACTGAGAGCATAGCTCAGGTCCTCTGCAGGAACAGTACTAGCTTTTAATTTCTGAGTTTTCTCTCCAGTCCCTAGTTTGCCAAGTGTTTTCTGTTTGTTTTTTAAACTTTATGATTTTTAAAAACTTTATATCTGTTGTTGTTGTTGTATGTCTGTGTACCACATGTGCCTGGTTCCTGTGGACACCAGAAGTTGGCACCAAATCTCCTAGAACTGGAGTTACAATGTTGTCAGCGGTCTTGTGGGTGTTTGACTTGAATCTGGATTTCCTGGAAGAGCAGTCATTCATTTTTTTGTTTTTTTTTTTGTTTTTGTTTTGGAGACAGGGTTTCTCTTTATAACAGCCCTGGCTGTCTTGGAACTTACTTTGTAGACTAGGCTGGTATTGAATTCAGAGATCCGCCTGCCTCTGCCTACCGAGTGCTGAGATTAAAGGCGTGCACCACCACATATGTCTGTAGTCAGTACTCTCAACTGCTCAGTCAGCTTCTCCAGGTCTTGTCAAATTATTTTTCTTCCATTTGGTTTTTTGAGCCAAGCTCCTTAGATCTGGTTGTTCTAGAGCTTACTGTGTAGACCAGGCTATCCTGGAACTCACTATCTAGACCAGTCAATCCTAGAACCCAGCAGTACTCCAGGCAGGAAAGCTGCATTTGTGCTGGATTTAGTAGCTTCCTCTGCTGGACAGTTAACGTTAGCTCTCCCAGCAAGTAATGAGAGCTCCTGCTTTGGAGAAGTCACCCTTGGCTTTGTTGAATTGTCACAGTGACTCTGACGTAAATCCTAAGCATTTTGGGGTTCATTTGTTTAAGTCAGGAACAAAAATGTGTAGAGGTTGTTAATTTGGAAATGTGAAACAGGTTAATTAATTTCTTAACTTTTGGGGAGGGGGTTGTCCAGAATTTGAGGTGAGAACATTTTCCTCCCTGTCTTCCTATTTTTGGGGGCAGGTACTACTCTGCTGGACCACGCCCCCATTTTTCAGCTCACCACATTTTTCTCCAGTCAGCGTTATCTGGCAGAGCACGAGCTGTTTGTTTTGTGCAGTTTAAATGGTTGACAGCGAGTTTGGTTTGTCACCTTTACCAAGTGCTTGTGCTACATCCATGCTGTGGCCAGCCTTCTCCTGTGTGTGGGTCCAGAGGGCGTAGGGAGAGCACACACATCACCGTTTGCTGGTCTTACATAGGTGGTCCTGTACACACTGCTAAGCCAGGAGAGACGAGAGGACCCTGAGGCTGGCTGGCTTCTCTACCTCAAGACAGGGCAGATGTACCCTGTGCCCGCCAACCATCTGGACAAAAGAGGTGAACTGCTTTGATCTCTGGCCTTTCTTCTCGGGCCTGCTCTTCCTGCCAGCTTTTGGTGATGTTTTCTGGTTTGTTTGTTTGCTTGTTTGTTTTCTAGACAGGATTTCACTGTGTAACCCTGGAACTCACTCTGTAGACCAGGTTGGCCTCAAACTCTTCAGAGATCTGCCTGCTCTGGCATCCTGAATGCTGGGGTTAAAGGCGTGAGCCACTACTGCCCTCCCTGGTGATACCTTTATGCTACTCACTAGACCGTACTACAGGTTGTGTTTTCTAGTTCTATGCTTTATAAATGTATCATTTGTCTTTATTATTTATGGGAGGAGTTCAGGTATAGGGGCTTAAGGACAACTCTGTGGAAGTCACATCTCTCTTTCCACTTTTATGTGGATTCCAGGGATTAAACTCATGTCTCTAGATTTGCACAACAGTTTCCCTGTTTAGCCATCTTACTAGCTCGGTGTGGCACAGACCTTTAACCCTGGGTCTAGCCCTTGGGGCAGGCAGGTCTACATATTGAGTTCCAGGCTAGCTAAGTCTATATACAGCAAGACCTTGTCTCAAAACAAAAACAACTAAACAGAGTCACAGTACTTACTAGGTGTGATTAAAAACCTCATCAAGTGTCGAAAACCCTCAAGTTGAAAACCCTGAAGTACGTACGCCAGCACATTACGACTGTGGTTACTCTAATACAGAGGCAAATTCCTGTGTTCTCTGCTTTGTCTTTAAATATGAAGCTTTTCCCGGTAGAAACTCTGCCTCATTCTAAAACGCCAACTTTACCTGTCTGTCCCCCAGAACTGCTGAAGCTCAGGAACCAGCTGGCCTTCTCCCTGCTGCACCGAGTGAACAGAGCAGCTCCGGGGGAGGGGGCACGGCTTTCTGCCTTGCCACAAATAATCGAGGAAGAGAAAACTTGTAAATATTGTTCGCAGATAGGCAACTGTGCTCTTTATAGCAGGTAAACATTCTGTGTGTGTGCGTGTGCATGTGTCTGCACGTGTGTGTGTTTTAAGATGGTCTTATGTAGCCCAGGCTGCTTTCAAGTTTGCTATATTGCTGAAGGTGACCTTGAACTTTGGGGAGGCTGGGTCAGATTGAGGCCGGGTAGCACCAGATATTCTGGAATTCAACCTTGAACTTGTGATCTTCCTGCCTTTGCCTCTCACATGCTGGGGCTCTAGGTATGCATTGCTTTACTGAACAGTCTAGCTGTTTTGTTTATAAGCATCTAATTTTTATTCATCTTGATTTGGTTTTTTTATTATTTGTGTGTATGTGTGTGTGTGTGGGGGGGGGCGTACCTGGGGTCCCAGTACCTGGAGGTAAAGGCAGGAGGATTGCTGAGTGTATGAGGCCAGTGAGGTCTACATAGAAAGTCTAAGGTCATCCAGGGCCGAATACTGAAACCCTGTCTCAATAAACCTACACCTCTGCCTGTATGTGCAGCTCGAGGGAATCCAGTGCCCTCTTCTGATCTCCAGAAACACCTGAACACATGGCAAATGCACACACATTTAAAAAAAAAAAAAAGGAGCCAGGGTGTCAGATGCCTTTATTCTAGTATTAAGGAGACAGGCTTGTCTGTGGGTTCTCCAGGGATATATAGGAAGGCCCTGTTTGCTTATTTGTTTGTGTGTGTGAGTGTGTGTGTGTGTTTAGGAAACCTTACTTCGCTGCCTAATTGGAAGTCTGTATTTAGAGCAATTGAAGAACAGGTAGATGACGCTTCCATCCCAGAAAGCATGCTGTCCAAAATCCAGGAAGAAACCCGGCACCTGCAGCTGGCACACTTGAAGTATTTCAGCCTGTGGTGTCTCATGTTAACGTTGGAGTCGCAATCTAAAGATAACAGAAAGAATCACCAGAGTCTCTGGTTAACGCCTGCTTCCAAACTGTAAGTGTTCCACAGAGTGGACTGTCACTACTGTGTTAGGTAGTACACTGTCGCATCCGGAATCCGTGACAGCAGAGGTTCGTGTAGTATGCTAAGGACAGGGTTTCATGGAGACTCGGTTGGTAAAGTGCTTGTATTGCAGGCACGATGGGCTGAGTTTTAATCCCCTGCACTTCTGTAAAGAGTGATCCAGTGCTGGGGACGCTGAGAGCTAGATCCCAGAACGTCACAGGCTGGCACAGCTCAGACGTCTAGCTCCAGGCCATTGAGAGGCTGTGTGAGAAATCCAGGTGGTCAGTTCCTAAGGGATCACCCAAGTCTGCATCTGCACAAGTGGGTACCGGAGTGCATTCAAACGCACAGGCACAGTTTTTAAAGTGTCTGGCTGGGCTGCAGAGACGGCTCAGCATTAAGAGCACTGGCTGCTTTTCCAGAGGTCCTGAGTTCAATTCCCAGCAACCACATGGTGGCTCACCACCATTTACAGTGGGATTTGATGCCCTCTTCTGTTGTGTCTGAAGAGAGCAACAGTGCATTCATATATACATAAAATAAATAAATCAATTAAAGTGTCTGGCTTCATTTAGTCATGACCTTGTCACAGGCGCCACAGAATTATGTTAAAAAAGAAGAAATAGAAGGTTGTTAATGTGGCATTCGTATTTTATAGTGGATTGTAGAAAGTGTTTAAAAACAACAACAAACAACAAAAAGACAAACTTAGCATTGATTGCCGGAGGCCAGAGGCCAGCAGGATTGTTCAGGGAGCCACTAGGCCTGATGACCTGAGTTTAATCCCTGGTATTCACATGGTGAAAGGAAAGAACTGCATCCTGGGACTCATCCCCTGCTTCAGAGGAGCAGCTTGGCCCATGTATGCACACATTCATATCACACATAATAATAATAATTATAGTTATAAAAATTTTTAAAATTTTTATGGGTTATATAAACAAATACAAATATGTCAATGGACCCTCCCTCCCTCCCCCCCCTTCTCTCTCTTTCACAGGGAGGAGAGTGGCAACTGCATTGGAAACCTAGTCAGGACGGAGCCTGTAGAGCGAGTTTGTGATGGACAGTACTTATATAATTTTCAGCGGAAAAATGGCCCCATGCCAGCCACCAATCTGATGGCAGGGGACAGGATTATTTTAAGTGGAGAAGAGAGAAAACTATTCGCTTTGTCTAAAGGCTACGTGAAGAAGATTACCAAGGCAGCCGTCACCTGCTTGCTAGACAGGTAATAAAAGGCTTCTTTGGAGATGACAGCTTTGTCCCTATGGAACTGGGCTTATACATGCTTCTGAGCTGCTCTCTGTCTCTGAATTCTCCTCTCAAACAGTTCAAACAAACTGACTCAGTAGAAGGCTTTTGGTAACTGGGTTTTATCATAGCATTTTGTGTTCTTTTGCTGAGGGTTTTTTTTTATGCATATATGTTGTGCACCCCCACACCCAGCAACCCCCAGCCTGCCTTTGTGGCTCTCACTGTCCAGCCCTTTCCCCTTCATGCTGAAGTTTGAGCCCAGGAACTCGCCGACAGTAGGTGAAAGCTCTATCGCTAAGGTATAAGGTGTACCCCCAGCTCTCCTCACCGGTTGCTAGTACATTGAGGTCAGTGATTAAGGCAGTGATGACTAGCAAGATGGTTGAGAAGGTTCTTTCTGCACAAGTCTGACCTTATTCCAGGAACCCACGGAAAGACAAGGGAGGAAGTTGCTCCACAAAGTTGTCTTCTGGTTCCACACACAGGCTGTGGCCTATTTGCAACCACAGTTCACATACACACACACACACACACACACACACACATTAGTAATCTTCAGGATGCCTGTGCTTCACTTAGAAGGCTTTCTGGGAAGCTAATTTTTCCATCCACAGGTTAGCTGAGAGCATGAGGTATATCCCAGGGATGGCTAGCCATGTTGGAGGAAGGCATGTTGAGGGGTGGAGGGAGGAGTATGACTGAGGTATTATAGGTGCCTCAGCATACAGTTTTTTGTAAAAAAAATTATGCTTATGTATGTATGTATGTATGTATGTATGTATGTATGTATGTATTTATGTGTACTTATGTATGTATTTATATGTGGGACCTACAAGTTATTTTAGCCCTTATACTGCTGGATTTTTATTCATTTTGTGAACATATGGGTGTGAGGTTAGGTTTGCATGTTGTGTCCAGGACGACCGGGAACATGCTGTGTACCTGACATGACCTCAGCTTCTTCCACCTCCCAAGTGCCAGGATGACAGCGCCCATCCCTCACTCGGTTCTTACAGACTCAGCCTGCAGCAGTGTGTGCCTTACACAGCCATTTTGTTGTTTTAGGAACTTGTCGACACTCCCAGAAACAACATTGTTTCGATTAGACCGGGAAGAAAGGCATGGGGATATAAATACTCCGTTAGGAAATCTGTCTAAACTGATGGACAACACAGATACCAGGTTGGTAATGATGGAGTCTGACTCTTCCCACGTCTCCTGAGGTGCTAGTAAAAGCATGTTTGTTCTTCTTTGCAGCAAAAGACTTCGAGAATTAATCATTGACTTCAGGGAACCTCAGTTCACAGCCTACCTCAGCTCCGTCCTTCCACACGATGCGAAGGACACGGTGGCCAGCATTCTAAAGGGTATGGCATAGCCAGCATTTCGATTTGATTTTCTTGATTCTTTTATACTCTAAACTATGCCGAGTGTCCGGTTGCTTAGCAGTTGATAGGGATACAGTTTTATAGAGCCAGAGAAGTGGCTTAGTCGGGAAAGGGACTTGCCATGTAAGCCTGGTGAGCTGAGCTTGGTACCTGAAAACCATTTGAAAAAGAAGGATACTGTAGCGAGATGGGAGGGTGGAGACTGGAGAATCGTCATGAAGCTCTCAAGCCAGCCAGATGACTTCACGTGTGCAGCACGGCAGATATAAGGGAGACCCTGCCTCAAAATGGTGGAAGGAGACCACCAACTCCTCTAAGTTGTCACCTGATCTCCACACATGATAGCACGCATGTCCCTGTACACACATCATACACACGAGAAGTTTACAAAGGTAGATAGAGACTTTGATGGCTCAGTGTGGTAAAGCACTTTGCCATGCAGGTGTGAGGCCTGGAGTTTAGATCCCCACCACCCATAAATGTTCAGTGTGCATGATAGCTGGGCGGACCGGGGCATCCCTGGGACAAACTGGATAGCCAGACCTCCCCATAACCGTGGACACTGCCTTACCTGCTTCCATGAATAAGGTAGAGCATGACTGAGAAACACTCCTAGTATCAATCTTGGGCTTCTGCATGCATACACACACATGTATGTGCATACACACACATGTACACGCATCTGCACATGCCTGCATACATTTGAATATGCATGTGGATGCGTGTGGATGCATATGCATACCAAAGACAATCACCACAGCAAAGCAAGCCTTGGTGGTTCCCTTTTATAATCTCAGTACTTGTGAGGTAGAAACAGGTATGTTTCTGAGTTCTAGGCCAGCCGTGACTACATAATAGACCTTGTCTTAAAAAAGGAATCACTCCTGGGTGGTGGTGGTGCCCACTTTTGAAGCCAGCACTAGGGAGACAGAGGCAGGCAGATCTCTGTGAGCCAGGGCTGCACAGAGAAACCCTGTCTCAAAAAATTAAACAAAAACCACAAATCACTGTAGCATTGTTTTGCTTTAAGAACATACTCAGAACTTGCTTTTTCTTTTTCTTTTTTATGCCTAGACAGGAAAAAAGTATAGTTCCGAAAAGTCCTGGAACTCACTTTGTAGGCCTCGAACTCAGAGATCCGCCTATCTCTGCCTTCCGAGAGCTGGGATTAAAGGCGCGTGCCACTACTGCCTGGCTGCTTTTTCTTATAAAAGGTGACTTTATGGGCCGGACATGGTAATATACAAGTAATCCCAGTAGTTGGGAAGCAGAGGAAAGCGCATTTTAGGGCCAGCCTGTGCCATAAAGTCTAGATAGCAAGATCCTGTATTTAAAAAAAAAAAAAAAATTCATTGAAATCAAATCTTGTTTTTGTTCTGTTAAATTGAAATACAGGTTTGAATAAGCCTCAACGACAAGCAATGAAGAAGGTTCTTCTTTCTAAAGACTACACACTCATTGTTGGCATGCCGGGGACAGGCAAGACGACGACAATATGTGCCCTTGTAAGCTCTGAAACTAAACACTCATACTGGATCCTTCTTTCCTGAGTTTCTGATGCCTGATAACACAACTGCTGTTGAACCTGAAAACCTTGAGGAGAAAGACCAGTTCACAGTTATGCAATGAAAGCAAGCTTTACTTAGTACTGGATAGGAAGATTGACTCGGGCCAGGGCCATACCCAGGATCCCCAGAGAGTGGCGCTGAATTAGGTCAGTCAGGTGCCTATAAAGGTCAGGCTCGCTAGGCTATGTACTTTCCACATGCGTCCAGCTGGGGCCAAGCATATATCCTGATATACTTCCTGCCTACGTGTCTCTCGCCTCCGCGTGATTGAGTGCATCCTGTGTAGTTGGGGCAACCAACCTTGTTTATTAAATCGGAAACGTGTGACTTAGTTATCTTACAAGCATTCCAGGAAGTTAGCTGTCCTTGGGCATGTGGGGCTTACAAATTATTTTAGCCCTTACACTGCTGGATTTTGCCTAGTGTGATGGCTCACACCTTTAATCTCAACACTTGAAGGCAGAGACAGGAGAATGGATATATATAAGTTTGAGTCCAGCCTGGTCCACTGAGCAAGTTCCAGATCAGCCAAGGATTCATAGACCTTGTCTCAGAAACAATAACAACAAAACATGATAAATTAACTTGTCGTGGTGGTACAGGCCTATATACCTACACCACTCTGGGGTCAATATTATTAATAGCATAATAAAAACACCTTGGGCAGGTGAGATGGCTCAGCAAACTCTCTTCTTGAATTCCAGTCTTACTAAATGTTGTGAGTGTTTGAAAACTGTAAGCCTGTTAAGTTATCAGGGTTTCAAAGTGATGCTGTTTCCCTCGGCCTCCCATTTCTAGGTAAGGATCCTCTCTGCCTGTGGTTTCAGCGTTCTGCTGACCAGCTACACACACTCTGCTGTTGACAATATTCTCTTGAAGTTAGCCAAGTTTAGAATCGGATTTTTGCGTCTGGGTCAGTCTCATAAGGTCCATCCGGACATCCAGAAGTTCACAGAGGAGGAGATTTGCAGATCGAGGTCCATTGCGTCCTTAGCCCATCTAGAAGGGCTCTATAACAGTCACGTAAGTCAGTCTGATTCTTACCGTGTGTGCGTGTAGACATCAGAGGACAGTCTCTGGTATGTCTCAGGTGGAGACAAGATCTCTGTTTGTCCTGGAGTTTGCCAAGTAGACTAGGCTGGCCATCAAGCCCCAGGGAATCCATCTGTTTCCATAAAAAATTTTTGTTGTCTCTGTCTCTGTCTGTCTGTCTGTCTGTCTGTCTGTCTGTCTCACAGACCAGGCTCACCTTGAAGTAACTTTGTAGTTAAAACTAGCCCTTGACCTCCCTCAGGAGCTGGGATTTCAGGCCTATGCTCCCATGCCTGGCTTGCTGTTGAGTTTGGGGACACTCTGCATGTTAGGTTCTGGTCCTCTCTTTGCATACATGGTTTCCTGGTCTCCCTCTCTGTAAGTTCCTTCTGTCCTTGTCACAGCATCTCTTGCAGAGCAAGGGAGTAATGTACCAGGTATGATGGTGTGGGTCTGATCTCTCAGCTCCCCTGGGGGCTCAGGTTATCCATCCCCTCAGACCCAGCAGTTTAAGGCCAACCTGTGCTACATAGTAAGTTCATGGGGATCCTGGACAGACTACGTAACAAGAGTCTCTCAAGAAAGAAACACACTATAAATGTTTCTGAAGTAATATTGAGAAATTCTTGCTATTGGGAGGGGGTGGTTTTGATCTTAATTTCATAAAGTGGGGAGGGGAGACAAGTACCATCTTTGACATTCAGTAACTGACTTGTTTTCTGTGTTCGGTTGTAGCCTATCGTTGCAACAACCTGCATGGGAGTAAACCACCCAATATTTTCCCGGAAGACTTTTGATTTCTGTATTGTGGATGAAGCCTCTCAGATCAGTCAGCCCGTCTGCCTGGGCCCACTGTTCTTTTCTCGGAGATTTGTGTTGGTGGGAGACCATCAGCAGCTCCCTCCCCTGGTTCTAAACCGGGAAGCCAGGTGGGTAGATGTTCTTGTCTCTGGCCTGTTGTAGTGTCAAACACTGATCAAAACCATCCTGGGGGAAGGAAGATTTTATCTGGCTTACAGATTAGAATTCACTACTGAGGGACGTGAAGTCAGGAACTGCAGCAGAGGCTCATGGGGAGCATTGCTGACTGGCTTGCTGCCAGGCTCATGAGGAGCACTGATGACTGGCTTGTTCCCAGGCTTATGGGGAGCACTGCTGACTGGCTTGCTGCCAGGCTCATGGGGAGCACTGATGACTGGCTTGTTCCCAGGCTCATGGGGAGCACCGCTGACTGGCTTG